AGGGAATTGAAGCTCTGATAGAAAGAAAGCAGGGGAATAAAGCTCTGAAAGACAGAATGCAGGGAAATAAAGCTCTAAAAGACAGAATGCAGGGGAATGAAACTCCGAAAGACAGAATGCAGGAAAATAAAGCTCTGAAAGACAGAATGCAGGGAAATAAAGCTCTGAAAGACAATGCAGGGAAATGAAGCTCTGAAAGACAAAATGCAGGAGAATGTAAGAGAATGAAGCTCTAAATGACAGAATGCAAAGGAAGAAGCACTGAAAGACAGAATGCCGGGGAATGAAGCTCTGAAAGAAAGAATGCAGGGGAATAAAGCTTTGGATGAAAGAATGCAGAGGAATGAAGCTCTGAAAGACAGAATGCATTGGAATGAAGCTCTGAAGGACAGAATGCAGGGGAATGAAGCTCTAAAGAACAGAATGAAAGGAAATAAGCTTTAGAGGACAGAATGCAGGAGAATGAAGCTCTGAAGGACAGAATGCAGGGTAATGAAGCTCTAAAAGACAGAATGCAGAGGAATGAAGCTCTGTAAGACAGAATGCAATGGAATGAAGCTCTGTAAGACAGAATGCAATGGAATGAAGCTCTAAAGACAGAATGCAGGGGATTGAAGCTCTAAAAGAAAGAATGCAGAGGAATGAAGCTCTGAAGGACAGAATGCAGGGGTATGAAGCTCTAAAAGACAGAATGCAGGGAAACGAAGCTCTGAAAGACAGAATGCAGAGAAAAAAAGTTCTGAAAGACAGAATGCAGGGTAATAAAGCTCCGAAACACAGAATGCAGTTGAATGAAGCTCTGAAAGACAGAATGCAGGGGAATGAAGCTCTAAAAGACAGAATGCAGGGAATTGAAGCTCTGATACGCAGAATGCAGGGGAATGAAGCTCTGAAGAACACATTGCAGGGGAATGTAGGAGAATGAAGATCTGATAGAAAAATGCAGGGAAATGAAGCTCTGAAAGACAGAATACAGGGAAATGAAGCTCTGAAGAGCAGAATGCAGGGGAATGAAGCTCTGAAGGACAGAATGCAGGGCAGAAAAGCTTTGAAGGACAGAATGCAGGGGAATGAAGCTCTGAAAGACAGAATGCAGGGGAATGAAGCTCTGAAGGACATAATACAGGGAAATGAAGCTCTGAAGGACAGAAGCAGGGAAATGAAGCTTTGGAGGACAGAATGCAGGGGAATGAAGCTCTGAAGGACACAATGCAGGAAAATGAATCTCTGAGGGACATAATGCAGGATAATGAAGCTCTGAAGGACAGAATGCAGAGGAATGAACCTCTAAAGGACAGAATGCAGGGGAATGAAGCTCTGATAAACCGAATGCAGGGAAATGAAGCTTTGGAGGTCAGAATGCAGGGAAATGAAGCTCTAAAAGACAGAATAGAGGATAATAAAGCTTTAAAAGACAGAATGTAATGGAATGAAGCTCTGTAAGACAGAATGCAATGAAATGAAGTTCTAAAAGACAGAATGCAGGGGAATAAATCTCTGAAGGACAGAATGCAGGAGTATAAAGCTCTGAAAGACAGAATGCAGTTGAATGAAGCTCTGAAAGATAGAATGCAGAGGAATGAAGCTCTGAAAGACAGAATGCAGGGAAATAAAGCTCTGAACGACAGAATGCAGGGAAATGAAGCTCTGAAAGACAAAATGCAGGAGAATGTAAGAGAATGAAGCTCTAAAGGACAGAATGCAAAGGAAGAAGCACTGAAAGACAGAATGCAGGGGAATGAAGCTCTGAAAGACAGAATGCAGGGGAATAAAGCTTTGGAAGATAGAATGCAGAGGAATGAAGCTCTGAAAGACAGAATGCATTGGAATGAAGCTCTGAAGGACAGAATGCAGGGGAATGAAGCTCTGAACAACAGAATGAAAGGAAATAAGCTTTAGAGGACAGAATGCAGGGAAATGAAGCTTTGAAGGACAGAATGCAGGGGAATGAAGCTTTGAAGGACAGAATGCAGGGGAATGAAGCTCTGAAAGACAAAATGCAGGGAAATGAATCTCTGAAGGACAGAATGCAAGGGAATGAAGCTTTCTTAGAATGCAATGGAATGAAGCTCTAAAACACAGAATGCAGGGGAATGAAGCTCTGAGGGACAAAAAGTAAGAGAATGTAAGAGAATAAAGCTCTAATGTACATAATGCAAAGGAATAAAGCTCTGAAGGACAGAATGCTGGGAAAAAAGCTCTAAAGGACAGAATGCAGAGAAATGTAGGAGAATAAAGCTCTGAAGAACAGATTGCAGGGGAATGTAGGAGAATGAAGATCTGAAGGAAAGAATGCAGGGGAATGAAGCTCTGAAAGACAGAATACAGGGAATCGAAGCTCTGAAGAGCTGAATGCAGGGAAATGAAGCTCTGAAGGAAAGAATGCAGGGAATGAAGCTCTGAACAACAGAATGAAAGGAAATAAGCTTTAGAGGACAGAATGCAGGGAAATGAAGCTTTGAAGGACAGAATGCAGGGGAATGAAGCTTTGAAGGACAGAATGCAGGGGAATGAAGCTCTGAAAGACAAAATGCAGGGAAATGAATCTCTGAAGGACAGAATGCAAGGGAATGAAGCTTTCTTAGAATGCAATGGAATGAAGCTCTAAAACACAGAATGCAGGGGAATGAAGCTCTGAGGGACAAAAAGTAAGAGAATGTAAGAGAATAAAGCTCTAATGTACATAATGCAAAGGAATAAAGCTCTGAAGGACAGAATGCTGGGAAAAAAGCTCTAAAGGACAGAATGCAGAGAAATGTAGGAGAATAAAGCTCTGAAGAACAGATTGCAGGGGAATGTAGGAGAATGAAGATCTGAAGGAAAGAATGCAGGGGAATGAAGCTCTGAAAGACAGAATACAGGGAATCGAAGCTCTGAAGAGCAGAATGCAGGGAAATGAAGCTCTGAAGGAAAGAATGCAGGGGAATAAAGCTCTAAGGGACAAAATACAGGAGAATGTAAGAGAATGAAGCTCTGAAGGACAGAATGAAGGGGAATGAAGCTCTGAAAGACAGAATGCAGGGGAATGAAGCTATGAAGGACAGGATGCAGGGGAATGAAGCTCTGAAGGACAGAATCCAGGGGAATGCAGCTCTGAGGTACAAAATGCAGGAGAATGTAAGATAATGAAGCGCTCAAGGACAGGATGCAGGGGGATGCAGCTCTGATGAACAGAATTTCAGGGGAATGAAGCTCTGAATAACAGAATGCAGGGGAATGAAGCTCTGAAGAACAGAATGCAGGAGAATGTAAGAGAATGAAGCTCTAAAGGACAGAATGCAAAGGAAGAAGCACTGAAAGAAAGAATGCAGGGGAATGAAGCTCTGAAAGACAGAATGCAGGGGAATGAAGCTTTGGAAGACAGAATGCAGAGGAATGAAGCTCTGAAAGTCAGAATGCATTGGAATGAAGCTCTGAAGGACAGAATGCAGGGTAATGAAGCTCTGAACAGCAGAATGAAAGGAAATAAGCTTTAGAGGACAAAATGCAGGAGAATGAAGCTCTGTAAGACAGAATGCAATGGAATGAAGCTCTGTAAGACAGAATGCAATGGAATGAAGCTCTTAAGACAGAATGCAGAGGAATGAAGCTCTGAAGGACAGAATTCAGCTGTATGAAACTGTAAAAGACAGAATGCAGGGAAATGAAGCTTTAAAAGACAGAATGCAGGAAAACGAAGCTCTGAAATACAGAATGCAGGGAAAAAAAGTTCTGAAAGACTAAATGCAGGGTAATAAAGCTCCGAAACACAGATTGCAGAGAAATGAAGCTCTGAAAGACAGAATGCATGGGAATGAAGCTCTAAAAGACAGAATGCAAAGGAATGAAGCTCTGTAAGACAGAATGCAATAGAATGAAGCTCTGAAAGATAGAATGCAGGGGAAAAAAGCTCTGAAAGACAGAATGCAGGGAAATAAAGCTCTGAAAGAAAGAATGCAGGGGAATGAAGCTCTAAGGGACAAAATACAGGAAAATATAAGAGAATGAAGCTCTGAAGGACAGAAAGCAGGGGAATAAAGCTCTGGAGGAAAGAATGCAGAGAAATGAAGCTCTGAAGAACAGAATGCAGGGAAATGAATCATTGAAGGACAGAATGCAGGCGAATGAAGCTCTGAAGGACAGAATGAAGGGGATTGAAGCTCTAAAAGACAGAATGCAAATGAATGAAGCTTTAAAAGACAGAATGTAGGGGAATAAAGCTCTGAAGGACATAATGCAAGGGTATGAAACTCTGAAAGACAGAATGCAGGGGAATGAAGTTTTAAAAGACATAATGCAGGGAAATGAAGCTTTGGAGAACAGAATGCAGGGGAATGAAGCTCTGAAAGACAGAATGCACAGGAATAAAGCTCTGAAGGACAGAATGCAGGGGAATAAATCTCTGAAGGACAGAATGCAGGGGAATGAAGCTCTGAAGAGCAGAATGCAGGGGAATGAAGCTCTGAAGGACAGAATGCAGGGCAGAAAAGCTTTGAAGGACAGAATGCAGGGGAAAGAAGCTCTGAAAGACAGAATGCAGGGGAATGAAGCTCTGAAGGACATAATACAGGGAAATGAAGCTCTGAAGGACAGAAGCAGGGAAATGAAGCTTTGGAGGACAGAATGCAGGGGAATGAAGCTCTGAAGGACACAATGCAGGAAAATGAATCTCTGAGGGACATAATGCAGGATAATGAAGCTCTGAAGGACAGAATGCAGAGGAATGAACCTCTAAAGGACAGAATGCAGGGGAATGAAGCTCTGATAAACCGAATGCAGGGAAATGAAGCTTTGGAGGTCAGAATGCAGGGAAATGAAGCTCTAAAAGACAGAATAGAGGATAATAAAGCTCTAAAAGACAGAATGTAATGGAATGAAGCTCTGTAAGACAGAATGCAATAAAATGAAGTTCTAAAAGACACAATGAAGGGGAATAAAGCTCTTAAGGATAGAATGCAGGAGTATAAAGCTCTGAAAGACAGAATGCAGTTGAATGAAGCTCTGAAAGATAGAATGCAGAGGAATGAAGCTCTGAAAGACAGAATGCAGGGAAATAAAGCTCTAAAAGACAGAATGCAGGGAAATGAGGCTCTGAAAGACAAAATGCAGGAGAATGTAAGAGAATGAAGCTCTAAAGGACAGAATGCAAAGGAAGAAGCACTGAAAGACAGAATGCAGGGGAATGAAGCTCTGAAAGACAGAATGCAGGGGAATAAAGCTTTGGAAGATAGAATGCAGAGGAATGAAGCTCTGAAAGACAGAATGCATTGGAATGAAGCTCTGAAGGACAGAATGCAGGGGAATGAGGCTCTGAACAACAGAATGAAAGGAAATAAGCTTTAGAGGACAGAATGCAGGGAAATGAAGCTTTGAAGGACAGAATGCAGGGGAATGAAGCTCTGAAAGACAAAATGCAGGGAAATGAATCTCTGAAGGACAGATTGCATTGCAGAAAAGCTTTGAAGGACAGAATGCAGGGGAATGAAGCTCTGAAAGACAGAATGCAGGGGAATGAAGCTCTGAAGGACATAATACAGGGAAATGAAGCTCTGAAGGACAGAAGTAGGGAAATGAACCTCTAAAGGACAGAATGCAGGGAAATGAAGCTTTGGAGGTCAGAATGCAGGGAAATGACGCTCTAAAAGACAGAATAGAGGATAATAAAGCTCTAAAAGACAGAATGTAATGGAATGAAGCTCTGTAAGACAGAATGCAATGAAATGAAGTTCTAAAAGACAGAATGCAGGGGAATAAAGCTCTGAAGGACAGAATGCAGGAGTATAAAGCTCTGAAAGACAGAATGCAGTTGAATGAAGCTCTGAAAGATAGAATGCAGAGGAATGAAGCTCTGAAAGACAGAATGCAGGGAAATAAAGCTCTGAAAGACAGAATGCAGGGAAATGAAGCTCTGAAAGACAAAATGCAGGAGAATGTAAGAGAATGAAGCTCTAAAGGACAAAATGCAGGGAAATGAATCTCTGAAGGACAGATTGCATTGCAGAAAAGCTTTGAAGGACAGAATGCAGGGGAATGAAGCTCTGAAAGACAGAATGCAGGGGAATGAAGCTCTGAAGGACATAATACAGGGAAATGAAGCTCTGAAGGACAGAAGTAGGGAAATGAACCTCTAAAGGACAGAATGCAGGGAAATGAAGCTTTGGAGGTCAGAATGCAGGGAAATGACGCTCTAAAAGACAGAATAGAGGATAATAAAGCTCTAAAAGACAGAATGTAATGGAATGAAGCTCTGTAAGACAGAATGCAATGAAATGAAGTTCTAAAAGACAGAATGCAGGGGAATAAAGCTCTGAAGGACAGAATGCAGGAGTATAAAGCTCTGAAAGACAGAATGCAGTTGAATGAAGCTCTGAAAGATAGAATGCAGAGGAATGAAGCTCTGAAAGACAGAATGCAGGGAAATAAAGCTCTGAAAGACAGAATGCAGGGAAATGAAGCTCTGAAAGACAAAATGCAGGAGAATGTAAGAGAATGAAGCTCTAAAGGACAGAATGCAAAGGAAGAAGCACTGAAAGACAGAATGCAGGGGAATGAAGCTCTGAAAGACAGAATGCAGGGGAATGAAGCTTTGGAAGATAGAATGCAGAGGAATGAAGCTCTGAAAGACAGAATGCATTGGAATGAAGCTTTGAAGGACAGAATGCAGGGGAATTAAGCTCTGAACAACAGAATGAAAGGAAATAAGCTTTAGAGGACAGAATGCAGGGAAATGAAGCTTTGAAGGACAGAATGCAGAGAAATGAAGCTCTAAAGGACAGAATGCAGGGAAATGAAGCTCTGAAAGACAGAATGCAAGGGAATGAAGCTTTCTTAGACAGAATGCAATGGAATGAAGCTCTAAAACACAGAATGCAGGGGAATGAAGCTCTGAGGGACAAAAAGTAAGAGAATGTAAGAGAATAAAGCTCTGAAGTACATAATGCAGAGGAATAAAGCTCTGAAGGACAGAATGCTGGGAAAAAAGCTCTAAAGGACAGAATGCAGAGAAATGTAGGAGAATAAAGCTCTGAAGAACAGATTGCAGGGGAATGTAGGAGAATGAAGATCTGAAGGAAAGAATGCAGGGGAATGAAGCTCTGAAAGACAGAATACAGGGAATCGAAGCTCTGAAGAGCAGAATGCAGGGAAATGAAGCTCTGAAGGAAAGAATGCAGGGGAATAAAGCTCTAAGGGACAAAATACAGGAGAATGTAAGAGAATGAAGCTCTGAAGGACAGAATGAAGGGGAATGAAGCTCTGAAAGACAGAATGCAGGGGAATGAAGCTATGAAGGACAGGATGCAGGGGAATGAAGCTCTGATGGACAGAATCCAGGGGAATGCAGCTCTGAGGTACAAAATGCAGGAGAATGTAAGATAATGAAGCGCTCAAGGACAGGATGCAGGGGGATGCAGCTCTGATGAACAGAATTTCAGGGGAATGAAGCTCTGAATAACAGAATGCAGGGGAATGAAGCTCTGAAGAACAGATTGCATGAGAATGTAAGAGAATGAAGCTCTAAAGGACAGAATGCAAAGGAAGAAGCACTGAAAGAAAGAATGCAGGGGAATGAAGCTCTGAAAGACAGAATGCAGGGGAATGAAGCTTTGGAAGACAGAATGCAGAGGAATGAAGCTCTGAAAGTCAGAATGCATTGGAATGAAGCTCTGAAGGACAGAATGCAGGGTAATGAAGCTCTGAACAACAGAATGAAAGGAAATAAGCTTTAGAGGACAAAATGCAGGAGAATGAAGCTCTGTAAGACAGAATGCAATGGAATGAAGCTCTGTAAGACAGAATGCAATGGAATGAAGCTCTTAAGACAGAATGCAGAGGAATGAAGCTCTCAAGGACAGAATTCAGCTGTATGAAACTGTAAAAGACAGAATGCAGGGAAATGAAGCTTTAAAAGACAGAATGCAGGAAAACGAAGCTCTGAAATACAGAATGCAGGGAAAAAAAGTTCTGAAAGACTAAATGCAGGGTAATAAAGCTCCGAAACACAGATTGCAGAGAAATGAAGCTCTGAAAGACAGAATGCATGGGAATGAAGCTCTAAAAGACAGAATGCAAAGGAATGAAGCTCTGTAAGACAGAATGCAATAGAATGAAGCTCTGAAAGATAGAATGCAGGGGAAAAAAGCTCTGAAAGACAGAATGCAGGGAAATAAAGCTCTGAAAGAAAGAATGCAGGGGAATGAAGCTCTAAGGGACAAAATACAGGAAAATATAAGAGAATGAAGCTCTGAAGGACAGAAAGCAGGGGAATAAAGCTCTGGAGGAAAGAATGCAGAGAAATGAAGCTCTGAAGAACAGAATGCAGGGAAATGAATCTTTGAAGGACAGAATGCAGGCGAATGAAGCTCTGAAGGACAGAATGAAGGGGATTGAAGCTCTAAAAGACAGAATGCAAATGAATGAAGCTCTAAAAGACAGAATGTAGGGGAATAAAGCTCTGAAGGACAGAATGCAAGGGTATGAAACTCTGAAAGACAGAATGCAGGGGAATGAAGTTTTAAAAGACATAATGCAGGGAATTGAAGCTCATATACACAGAATGCAAGGAAATAAAGGTCTGAAAGACAAAATGCAGGGGGATGAAGCTCTGAAAAACATAATGCATGGAAATGAAGCTCTAAAAGACAGAATGTAGGGGAATAAAGCTCTGAAGGACAGAATGCAAGGGTATGAAACTCTGAAAGACAGAATGCAGGGGAATGAAGTTTTAAAAGACATAATGCAGGGAATTGAAGCTCATATACACAGAATGCAAGGAAATAAAGGTCTGAAAGACAAAATGCAGGGGGATGAAGCTCTGAAAAACATAATGCATGGAAATGAAGCTCTGAAAGTTAGAATGCAGGGGAATGAAATTTCAAAAGACAGAATGCAGGAGAATGAAGCTCTGAAAGACAGAATGCAGGGAAAAATAGCTCTGAAAGACAGAATGCAGGGGAATGAAGCTCTGAAAGACAGAATGCAGGGAAATAAAGCTCTGAAGGACAAAATGTAGGAGAATGAAGCTCTGAAGGAAAGAATGCAGGAAAATGTAGGAGAATTAAGCTCTGAAGAACAGATTGCAGGGGAATGCAGAGGAATGAAGCTCTGAAGGACAGAATACAGAGGAATGAAGCTCTGAAGGGCAGAAAGCAGAGGAATGAAGCTCTGAAGGAAAGAATGCAGGGGAATGAAGCACTGAAGGACAAAATGCAGGGGAATGAAACTCTAAAGGACAGAATGCAGGGGAATGTAGGAGAATGAAGATCTGAAGGAAAGAATGCAGAGGAATGAAGCTCTGAAAGAAAGAATATAGGGAAATAAAGCTCTGAATGGCAGAATGCAGGGGAATGAAGCTCTGAAGGACATAAAGCAGGGAAATGAATCGCTGAAAGACAGAATGCAGGATATTGAAGCTCTGAAGGACAGAATGCAGGGGAATGAATCTCTGAAGGACAGAATGCAGGGGAATGAAGCTCTGAAGAACAGAATGCAGGGGAAGGAAGCTTTGGAGAACAGAATGCAGGGGAAAGAAGCTCTGAAAGACAGAATGCAGGGGAATAAAGCTCTGAAGGACAGAATGCAGGGGAAATAAGCTTTGAAGGACAGATTGCAGGAAAATGAATCTCTGTAAGACAGAATGCAATGGAATGAATCTCTGAAAGACAGAATGCAGGGGAATGAAGCTCTGAAGGACAGAATGCAGGGGAATGAAGTTCTGAAAGACAGAATGCAGGGGAATGAAGTTCTGAAAGACAGAATACAGGGAATGTAAGAGAATAAGGCTCTGAAGAACAGAATGCAGGGGAATGAAACTCTGAAGGACAGAATGCAGGGGAATGAAGCTCTAGAAGACAGAATACAAGGGAATGAAGCTCTGAAAGACAGAATGCAGGGTAATGAAGCTCTGAAGAAGAGAATGCAGGGGAATGAAGCTCTGAAGGACAGAATGCAGGTGAATGAATCTCTGAAGGACAGAATGCAGGGGAATGGAGCTCTGGAGGACAGAATGTAGGGAAATGAAGCTCTGAAGAACAGAATGCAGAGAAATGAAGCTTTGGAGAACAGAATGGAGGGGAATGAAGCTCTGAAAGACAGAATGCAGGGGAATAAAGCTCTGAAGGACAGAATGCAGGGGAATGAAGCTATGAAGGACAGAATGCAGGGTATTGAAGCTCTGGAGGACAGAATGCAGGGGAATGAAGCTCTGAAGAACAGAATGCAGGGAAATGAAGCTCTGAAGAACAGAATGCAGGGTAATGAAGCTCTGAAGAAGAGAATGCAGTTGAATGAAGCTCTGAAGGACAGAATGCAGGTGAATGAATCTCTGAAGGACAGAATGCAGGGGAATGGAGCTCTGGAGGACAGAATGTAAGGAAATGAAGCTCTGAAGAACAGAATGCAGAGAAATGAAGCTTTGGAGAACAGAATGGAGTGGAATGAAGCTCTGAAAGACAGAATGCAGGGGAATAAAGCTCTGAAGGACAGAATGCAGGGGAATGAAGCTATGAAGGACAGAATGCAGGGTATTGAAGCTCTGGAGGACAGAATGCAGGGGAATGAAGCTCTGAAGAACAGAATGCAGGGAAATGAAGCTCTGAAGAACAGAATGCAGGGGAATGAAGCTCTGAAGGACAGAATGCAGAAAAAGGTCTGAAGACAAAATTTTCTTGCAAAAGAAGGGGAGGGGGCTAAAAAAAATTGTACATTTGGGGGCGTTTCTAGTAAAGTTTGTAGAGACAATAAATCGACATGGTTAATTGTAATGTTTCACCTGCGGACCATTCTATTTTTTTTGCTGGCCAGAGTATTTTTAGAAGATTTAGAGTTTTCTGGATCTAGTATTATTCCAAATTACAGTGTCAGAGAATTATCCAAAAGTAATCCCGTTTTAAATTCATCGTGCATATTTGTAACAGAGATTCTTATATTATAGCAATTAAACTTTTCATTGATTAGTAGA